GTGAAACATTAGAAGACTTGTAATGTGTGAACATTCAAAACCTCTGGATAATTACAAAAAAGGACACTAGGATAAAAAAATAGATCAGGGAAAACCTACGCATTAAATGTCAGGAGGCCCTATTGCATAGCAATCAATAACCTAGCTTTTGGAGTCAGATGTTGTGATTCACAGCTCTACCACCTACCAAGCTGTGTGATCTCAGGCGAGATGCTTAGCTTCTATAAGCCAAGTTTAATTTTCTGAAAAATAATGTTTCCTACTTAATATGAGGATTAAATGAGATAGTGTATATTACAAAGTATGTGATATGCAGACACCGAAATAGAACTAGGATTATTACAAGTCATTCAGATTCAGTCAAATTTGTAAGAGACTCAAGATTCCAAAAACAAAAGAAGCGAAGTATGTAAATGCTGTTTCAGCTTGGAACCCGCCTCTTCCCCACACATGCATAAAGAATATCCATGCCAAATGCTCTGCTCTCCATGAAGTCAGTCTTGCATTCCCACCTGACCCAACTAGAAATGACTTCCTCCCTTGATCTCTATGACCTTTTAAAACAGAGATTACTTCCTTGCTTCAGCATTTCTCATGATGAAGGCATGCGCTAAAGGCACTTGTGTTTTTGTCTTAACTAAACTATAAGCTTTGTGAGGATAGCTACTATTTATAATCATACTTTTAAGATCCTAAAACACAATAAACATTGAAGAAAATTGTATTTAATTGAAATGTAGATATATTTAAATTACTTTTCACTCCTATTTTCTGTAGTATTTGCCTTTTGTATCATAGTGAAATTCTTGAATAGAACATGTGCTATGTGTATTGCATGTCTGTGCTGAAATCATAGTGAGAAAAGCTATATGAATTTTAGAATGGCTGTCTTGTCTCTAGATAGTACATTCATTCTGGAAACAGCTCAATATGAATACCAATTTTAAAATCCAATTTGAATCCAACTCTGTGTCATTCTGACTGATGATCTGTTGGGTGTTGAGTCATAAAATGATTTTAGATACATTAACTTAAACAGGTTAGGAGTTAATCAGTGAAACTGAAGTATTATTATATGTAACATCTGCGTTTAGATAAATTCAAATGTGTATATTATTACTTTATTTTCATAGAGGAATTTTACTATACTGACCCTTGTCACTGGTATGAAATCAGTTTTACATAGTATGTAAAGATGCAGAGCATACAAAATATGGCACTCAGGACAAATCTTTGCTAGCTATCACTGTAACATTATCTATTCTGTATATAAGGTACTGTAATAATTGACACCCGTACTACTTTTGTTTAGAACTGTTGAGGGGTGATGTTTTCTTTCTATAACTTTTTTCCTTTTTTTCCATTTTATTTAAATTTAAAATTCATAGGTACAAAAGTGTTTAAATTTTGATTAAAATTATTATATATTAATATTTTTAAAGAAAGAGGTGCATTCAGTTTCAATCCCAGCTATTGTTTGGACTGTCATGTCTCATGAACAGTGACATTTTATCTGAGGATATGAAGATAGCATTGGATCTTATGGATTGGATATTCTGAACATCAGATCTGATGTGTCTCCTTTTCAACATATGTGAAATAAAACTTAGAAGTCATTCACAATTATATCCTGACACACTCTTCTCAAACACTGGAATGTTTGAATGATTTAAATTCTGTCTTAATATTTTCCTCCTTATTTTATTTAATATTATGTATTATATGTTAAAAATGTTGAAGGAAGTATTAAAAATGGATAGGCTGACTGGTGGGTCGGTGGTGGAGTCCTTAGGGGTATGTCAGTCAGGGAAACAGTAAGAAGTTGACATTTGACCAAAAGTCGATATGGAGCAGCAATAATTAACTATTTATTGAGATGACCTTATAGAATATTTGCTCCTTGCTTCATTCACATTCTCTTTTTTAAAGGGCTGTCAAAGTTAGTTCTTCTGTGAGATTACAGTACAGGCATTTTAAAAGGCTTTTCTTAAGATCACAGTTTAGTCGATAATTGTGAGTATAACCAACTTTATTTTAAGTAGTTTGAAAAAAATTAAAGTGACAATATAAAAGAATTAATACTTTCTGTTTTCAGAATATGTCCTGCTATCTTAATTAATATTTGAAATATCCCAAACCAAATAAAACACCACCATAGTAAAATCAGTAAAAAACAGCTTAGGTTTCAGTAGCTTTCCATTTGGTGTCTAGTCTCCAATTGAACAAATTGGGATTGACTTGAATGATAACGGTATAGGAAGTACGTCCTTTGGCTGCGTTGGGTCTTCTTTGGTGCGCGCAGGCTTTCTCTAGTTGCGGCAAGCAGGGGCCACTCTTCGTTGCAGTGCATGGGCTTCTCATTGCGGTGGCTTCTTTTGTTGCAGAGCACGGGCTCTAGGCACATGGGCCTCAGTAGTTGTGGCTCAAAGGCTCTAGAGCGCAGGCTCAGTAGTTGTGGCGCACGGGCTTAGTTGCTCCACGGCATGTGGGATCTTCCCGGACCAGGGCTCGAACCTGTGTCCCCTGCATTGGCAGGCAGATTCTTAACCACTGCACCACCAGGGAAGTCCCTGGTCTCTCATTCTTTCAGTCATTTATTCAAGACACTTTCTTTGAATGTTGAAATGAAATACAAAGAAAAATATAAAATTCTTCTCCAAAAATTCACACTCCCGGGTGGGGCATGAAAATAGAGAACCAAGGAGAAGTAGACACTTATGATAAAATATAGTAAAACAGCCTTGTATCTGGTGCTAGGGAAAACAGACAGAAGCCCCAGCTCTGTGGGAGGGGGAGAGAAAGGTGTTTTCACAGAAGACATGCCATTTTAGTGTAATCTTTAAAAGTATTAAGGGTTTTCCAGGAGAATCCATGGGGCAGGCGCTGCAGCCAGAGGGAACAATATATGTACAGGTGCGCGCCAGTGCATTTAAAAACCTGAAAATTGTCTTCACCCTTGAGTTGCTTGGAAGCCACTTATTCATTTCAGTGGCCGCCGAGAGTAAAGGACAAACCAGATTCCAGGTTGTGTAATTAGTTAACATTTGTTGAACATTATACTGGTTGCTAAACTGAATCTTGTTAGGCCCTTCCTCTACCCAGTGAGTACCGTCTAATTAAGAGGGCAACCAAGGCGGGATGAAAACAACATCAAATCAATCAGCAGCTGTCTTTAAAGGGCCCCACGGCTGTCTGTATAGAGATTTATAGATTAACTGCAGCACTTTGAATTGCAGTGGGAAGAAAATTGGCAGCAGCTGCAAACTTCACCGTGTGGCTTTATTTTGCTTCAGGCAGCTGAACCCAGAAGTAGGTGGGCTACCCATTCTGGTCCCTCCGATATTTAATAGTATCCAAGGGCATCCCCAATTAGGACACCCATGTGTAATCCAGCCATTTCCTAAGCTATCATCAATATGCATGAATTTATTAAAAACTCTGAAATAATTCTGATTCTAGATAATAAAGGTGGAATTTTATACAATTTGGGGAAATGCAGCCAGGAATTTGGAGAATATCTATTTGTGTAACTCTAAAACCTTAGTGATTGAAATCTGTCTGAAAGGCCATTGGGAATAGTCTTTATAGATTTTATTATAGGCCTATAGCTAAAACTATCATAACTTTGTGTTTGCGTAACACGGGACATAGAATCATGAAATGTTCATCTTTATTTTTTAAAAATAAAACAAAGAGCATTCTAGTTTAGTATTATAGTTAAAATAAATGATTTTAGTCTAATCTCAACTACGTATGTCAAAGGCAATTTCTTTTCCAAAAGTACAGATACAGTGCTGTTATGTTGTCTAGAATAATATATACGTAGATACATATTGTTTGGGATGCAAAAAGTTCTAAAGTGAAAAAGCAATATTTCTTTTTGCTTTGATTATTTATATCATAGTGAATTAGTGGCTCAATCAATGTAAGTGTATTAAAATATATATTTAATTTTAGACCTAAATACTATTTATGTAAGAGACTGGGTAATAAGTAGTGAGGCTGTAGGGATTTTAGATGGCTGAACTAACTTGTATGCATTTCCTCACTTGTATTTCATTTCCTACTCATCTTGATTTCGATGTTAGATCTGTTTTCTTTCTCATATTTACTGTATTTATTCCTCACACTTACATTTTTGCTAACACTGAACTAGCATTCTGAAGTTGCCTAATATTTCCATGAACTTGGTCAGGCTACTGAAGCACTCTGAGCCACCACTGACACATCTTTAAAATGGTGATAATGACATTGGTTCTGCCTCTCTCACAGCGGGGCTGTGAGAATCAAATGATTCAGTGCTTTTGAAAGTGTCAAGTTACACACAGTTAAAGGAGGTATATTGATTGTATATCTCAGAGTTTGCATTTGCACATATTATAAAGGCAAATTTTAGTCTTATTTAATAAAAGTGTGGTACTTCCTTTGCAGAAAGAGGGAACTTACTAAGAAACTCAGATATTCCCCCAGCAGTTTGCACGTGTATCTTTATGCCTGCAAGTGTGGATGTAGATGTTAACTGCATCTAATTCCACAGGGCTTTAAGCCCATTATCCTGCAGGTCAGGATTCCTGGAGCAATACAGTTACACATCCTTTCCTATCACCCTTTCCATGCTACAGGAAAAAGTTAGGTAGCAGACTTATATCATGAGATAATTCCCCAAATATTAACCGCTGAGACTGTAAACAGCTGGCTCTGGGATCTACTTCTGAGAATTAATCCCCATCCTTCCCTCTCCTCTCCTTCTATTCCTTGCTACTATTGGTGGGCCTTGTATCCAAATCCTTTTGTGTTTAAGGTTTGTGGATGTGTACACTATATATGTACTTCAAGAGGAGTATACAGTACTTCAAAATACAAGCTCTTCTTTAATAGGTAATTTGTGTATGTCTGTGTTGGAAAGAAATAGCATACAATAACAAAGATGAAGGTGCAATTTAAAGCACAGTCGTTTTGAAAATCTGTCTTTGAGTAACAAAAACGTATCCTCATTTCAGAACATGATGAGTGTGTCACAAATCAGCACAACTGTGATGAAAATGCTTTATGCTTCAATACCGTCGGAGGACACAACTGCGTTTGCAAGCCAGGCTATACCGGGAATGGAACTACGTGCAAAGGTAAAAGATTTAAGTGCTGGCACCTCTTCCATTAGGGATAATGCAATCCATCTCTCCTTCCCTCCACCCTTTCTCATCACTGTTACCTGCCTTCTGGGTACATCCCACAGACATTGAGAACTTTGAAGTGTAGCTCATGGGCTTCCTCTTGGATTACGTCAGTGTTTAAATGGCCAAACTGTTCAACAACTCTGGTTTAATGCTCCATGACCTCAACCACAGTGGTTTCCACCTCTCTTCCTCTCTAGTGGAATCATAGCCATAATCACGTCCTGGGCATTTTTGTACAGAACTACTCCACTCTAGAAATCTAAACTTTAGCTTTTTATTATCTAACCCCACGTCCTTCTGCTTCCAGTTTGCCACTCTGTTCTTTCCACAGTTTTGCATCTTTAATCTCTCTGACCTGTCCTTTTCATCCAGATTCCCAGTCTCCTCCCAGGTTCCGATATTTCTTTTTGAGTCCAAACATTACAGCTATATTTTTTTCGGCAGCCCTATCAACCAATTTGTTTTACTACCATGATCCACTGTGAAATATCTATGTGGGGTCAGTCTGAGAGCTCTTCTTCTCTGCTCTCTCTCTCTTGAGCTAAGTACTAATAACTGGGAATTTTAGGTTTCTATGTGTTATCATTTCCCATTTTGCCTGGTTTGTCATTACCAATCAATAATTCTCAGATTTTCATTTCCATCAGCGGATATTCCGGCTGTAGCCCACCACCATCCATTAATTCACTCTTTTATCCATGCCCTCATTTTCCTTCATCAGATGAGCTTACCTCCCACTTCAAAAGGAAAACGGAGGTTCTATTCTGGAAACTCCACCAACTTCCATAGGATAAAGTCCATATTCCTTATTACGTCATATAGATTTATTTATCATTTGTCTAATTCAGGCATTTTAAGCTTCAAAACTGGTCCATTCCTCAAATGTGCTGTGTTCATTATCCTGGAGTTTACCAAAATTAGTTTTCTTTGTTACATGTATATGGGAGACAGGAGATAACAAGGAATTGTTACTAATGCCGTGTCCTTTGGTCATGACTTTCAGACCTGGTCTACGATCATACAGTGGATGCAGATAGGGATGGGCCAGAGGATTACTCTGTCAAAGTCTATGGAAACCTGTAGTTTAGAGCATTGTAAAGGCCTATGCATTTGGGAGTCTAAATCCCACAAAGATTTCCTCAGAAACTGGATGGATCCTGAGGAAAGCTAGATTTTCAAGTCCATAGATGGTATAAATGCACCCTTAGGACTTCCCCAAAGCATCTGGATGTTCAGAGAGTTAAGATTTCATCTGGGAGCCCAACAGCTTCTCACTCTTATTTGCATTTGACTCTCACTCCTTATTAATGTGAAAAATAAAGTTTATAGCGTAAAGAATTCTTGAAGCCATGAGAAGATGCAGACAGATAATTCTTATCTTTGAAGGAAGGAGAACTTTCCAGTGTCTATAAATTTCTTCTGGAAATTAGGACTATAGGTTGCCTGAGTAAAGACTCTCTGTTCCTGTGTGTGTCTCTGCTGGGAACGTCAAAAGCTGAGAGAGAAGTAGTTTAGCTGTAGGATCTGAATCATTGAGTCCTATTCTCTGTCAAGAGACTGCAACCTTGCAAATTACTCCAAGTAGGATATACACATGGTCTGGTGGGTGTACCCTTTCTTTTCATGAGGCTTCAATTCCTAATCTCTTTGGAAGTTCTTGGTGACTAGGTATTGTTTTTGCCTAGGATGAAGACAGATTAAGACCTAGAACCAAAGAAGCCAAATGGCCTCTTTGGGCCCCTTCCTTTAACTCAGTAGCAGAATCTCAGATTTCTACAGTTTCCCACTCTGAGAAAGTACATCCTAACTAATTAGAGGAAGCACATGCCTGAAAACTAGAGCAAAAGCTTTTGCCCCAGGCATGGAACAGGCTGATCGAGTTCATCCACAACAGGCCTTGCCAGGCTGAGGGAACAGCCTTTGCCTTACAGAGTCAAAGAATAAGCTGAAGTGGAAACAGAAGTTTCTGAGGCTACTCCATCCTGCCCATCCTGTTTTTCTCACCTTTTCTGAGGGCAGTGCATCTCAAAAGATCACCCTTGCAGCGGCTCAGAGCTTGGCTTCTTTTTCTACTCACAGAACTCCCCTCACTCACACACCCACTCTAACACAACAGGCTATGCAGTGCCTTTGCCCTTGATCCTGGATCCTGACCTATCCTTGGCAGAGGGATTCAAGACCCTTCTTGAAGACTCCTTTATCAAATTCTCATTATTGGCTAATTTATCACCAGGAGTAATTTAGAACTTTTTGAAGGATGGGGCACTTCTCTAGTATTTTGACAGTTTGGACAGTGTGTAGAATGATCAGAGCTGTATAGGATTCAATTATTTCTTATTTCCGTATCTTATTCTTTAGGTGGTGGTTTCTTCCTTAAGAAGATGCCTAGGATAGCTGCCATTTTTTTTAGATTTAATTTCCAGCTGGATTGCTACAATGAGGTGCAATACTACTTCTAATTCCTGTTTTGTAAGGCTACTGTTTTTTGTTAAAAGAAAGCTCAGTATTTTCTTTTACAGGTGAAATACTTAACATTGAAAAGAGTACTATTCTACAAATTGTGTTGGTTTCTTACCTATATGGAAAGTATTATTTGAATATGAAATTATAATAGCATTTATATCAAAGGCAATAAAGAAAAGCTAGTTTGGAGTATCTTGAACTACTTCCTTCTAAAGTGCTAAAATTATGTATCTGAATTATTTTAGCGTTTTGCAAAGATGGCTGTAGGAACGGAGGAGCTTGCATTGCCGCTAATGTGTGTGCCTGCCCACAAGGCTTCACTGGGCCCAGCTGTGAAACGGGTAAGAATATCATACCATCTTCTAGAAGATGAATTTTTACGCCCATGTATAAAGTAACCCATGAGGAAAATAATGTTTCAAGTGGGCTTTCAAAGCATGGCACTTGCTATTAACACAGAAGCTTAGCAGGCAGGAGGTGGGAAGTTTCAGTGAGGCGTAGTCATTGGGCGTTTGCCCAAAGTCACTCTAAGGAGGTTTTGCAACTATTATAACTAGAAGTATATTGAACTTTTTCAGAAAAATATGTTGGATTACCCAGGATTTTATGACTTCATAATTCACTTTACTCATTTGGAGCCCAGTTTTCCTGGAATCTATATGCCCATATTAAAGCATAGAATTCAAGCTTATGGCCAACTCACTTCCTGGGACACACTACTTCCTGCATCCACATTTGAGAATTTTTAATAAATTTTTACCTGGTCCATTTAATATTTTTTCATTGTTGTCTGTTTACAAAGTGTTTAAAGTTTTCTACCCCTTAATTATTCCTCATCCAAGTCTGTCCTGAACTTACTCTTTCTGATAGATACTAATACTAGAAACTTTTAAAAATATTAAAAAATATATATATGTGTAGTCTATATATAGCTTATGACTGAAAGTAAGATGTTTTGTCCATTGAAAACACACCTTGAGAATTTAAAAAGTGCCTTGAGTATTAGCCCCTAATTAAAATCATATCAGTAGTAGTTTTGGTTTCTTTGGGTTAAGTGGGTTCTAACAGCAGATGACCTCACAAAGTCTGATTATTCTCCCTAAGAGAAAGCTGCTGCCACCAATGATTAGTGGTTACCACCTCCTCTTGCTTTCCATAAATCTCAGTGCAGTAGATGCAGTGAATGTCCTGTCTCCATCCCACCTGCAGTCATCGGGTTTAATAAATACACTGATCAGAATGTGAGACAGAAAATGCTCTGGTCCATTTGAGAAGTGAAAAGTTTACTGAATAAGTACTGCCACTGAGCACAGAAGGATGCTCACAAAAGGATCACTACATCCTTTCTTTCTGCAAGTACCTCTAAGTGGTGCTTTTCAAACTTCGGTGACTAACTGGTTACAAAGGTCTCTAACAGAAAATGCCTAGTGGCTATCTTTGATATGTGGGCCTCTTTCTTAAGGAGATCATTTCCAAAATCAAGAGTTCCAAAACTCATCGTGCATGTGAATCACCCACAGAGCTTGTTAACTTGATAAAAAAATACAGATTTCTGATAATTAACTATCATAGGATTTAGTAAATCAAAATCAGGTACTTCCAGTGCAGTGGTTCTACAATGTTTCTATCCCATGATCTCCAGTAGTACCCACACACGCATCAAGGTACACTAACAAGGTGTACATTCAGACCTATGGTAACTATGTTTCCTGAATACTGTTTCTGTTATGCTGTTTCTGGTACGAAGTCTGGATACTGAAATAGTGGCTTTTTCAGGGAATTTCAGTGGTGTGCAATTTTGAAATAAAGGCTGTCCCAGAAAATCTGGGATGAATAATGATCATGCTCAATCCTGCGTATCATTTTCCCACTAAAAAAAAATTATATGGAGAGATTGTGAAAGTGTGGAATGGCATAAGATTAATCTGAGCAATGTAAAATTTAAAACTGGAGTTAAAAGTAACCCAACAGAATATTTAGCTTTCTCTGTGTAGTTATCCTTGATCTTTCAGTCTGTAAGAGGACAAACACAAAATGCCAAGGGCTTTGAGAAAAATGTATGTTTAAAATCTAGTTTTACTCTTTCCTTGTTATGTGGCCTTGGGCAAGGTGCATAACTTCTGTGTCTTTTATCCTGTGTACGTCACCTTACTCTTCACAGGTCTTCTTGAAGATAGGTATTATCTTGGAGGTATTATCCATTTACAAACAAAAATATTGGGTTCATCATGATTTAATTTTTCTAACATCAGAGAGCTAGCAGCTGAATACTAAGGTCTTTCTACTCTCAAATCCAGGTTTTTATCTATATAATTGCTTTTCAGTTTCTTCTGAAGTCACTCTAATGACAGAGGAGAGAGAATGCCTCCTATCTGGGAAAATGTAATACCAACACTTGCCTTAAGGCATCTGTCCCAATTATTGCTCCAGGTTAGATCCCAATTCCTCACCTCCCAACACCACCATTTTTGTTGATGTAGTTATAAATAGAAGGTGTGCCCTTTAAAAAAATACCTTCAGATGAGAAGAGACTCATTTGAAATAATTTATTCACCCATTTATTCAACAGATGTTTAATTAGGATCTGTTATATGCTGAGCACTGATCTAGAAACAGGATATAGCAGTGAACAAAACTGAGGCCCTGTCTGCATGGAAATTATGGTGTAGTGGAACAGAGGGACTATAAACAGGAAAATAAATGTCAGGTAACAATAGGTACTGTAGGGCTTCCCTGGTGGTGCAGTGGTTGGTAGTCCACCTGCCGATGCAGGGGACACGGGTTCGTGACCCGGTCCGGGAAGATCCCACATGCCGTGGAGCGGCTGGGCCTGTGAGCCATGGCCGCTGAGCCTGCGCGTCCGGAGCCTGTGCTCCGCAACGGGAGAGGCCACAGCAGTGAGAAGCCCACGTACCGGGGAAAAAAAAAAAAAAAAGGTACTGTAAAGAAAACTATAGCAGATAGTATAAAATTATTTTATTAACCTCTGGACCTTCCATATGATGGGTATTATTATTATTATTGATATTTACTTTATTAATAAAGGTAACTAACCTCAGCTTCTGTATCAAGTCCCAAAATTTCAGTGGTAAATATAAAAGGTGTATTGCTCATTCACATCTCAGTTTATGTTGAATGTGGTATTGAGGAGAGAGTTGAGGGGGATTGGGGTTCCTCAAACTAGGGGCCCTGGCTATTGCCATTTAGTGAAGAAGCCATACCCAGTACATGACCTCTGAAACTGCTAGAGAAGAGGACCACAGAGAAAGCACGGAAAATGCACACCTAGCGTTACTGCCTCAGGTCAGAAGTGTCCCTTCCCGTCACATACCGTTGGTAAGATCTAACCACATGGATTCAAGGGGTTAAGAAAGTGTAGCTGAGCTGAATGTCCAGGAAGATGAAACTGGTTTGGTGAGCATCAGGCCAGTCTTTTGCCATATCTGCTGTCTGTCATTGCTAGTGCAATTTACTCAAAGCAATCAAAACATTTTCTACATTTCCCTGATGTCGTCAGGACAAGGAACTCTGAGTTACTTCCTTTTTCGATCACTGCCATATTTATCCTCATCCCCCTGGCAGGGAGTCTCACCTTGGAATTCCTGGACCCCTGTAGGTCTATGGATGGGCTTTGGGGTCCATGAATTCCCTGAGTATCTGTGCACGTGTACATTCTTCTGCAGGGAGAACCCGGGCTCTTAAAGATTTCATATGTGTTATATGATTTCCAAATAGTTAAGAACCTCTAGAGAGAGAATCTTCAATGATTCATAAAGAGAACTAACTGCTATTTCATTCTGTGGCACGTGATCCAAACCCAAATGTCCAATGTTTCTTTGGGAACCTTAAATCCAGAGACCCCAAACTGAGCTCATCGCCTCCATGTCTCCTGCCTCATGTCCTCTTCCTCTTCTGTTTCCAAAACCCGGATCTTCACTTCTATTTCCTGTTTCAGTGAGCGGCAGCCGTATCCACCCAATTTTACCCCTTCTTCCTGCCCTCGCCCCCCACTTCCTCCCCCTCTCCCTCCCTCCCACCAGTACTCAGGGAATCATCCCCTCACACCCCTTGCACATCCAGTCAAGTCCTTTTTGTTCTCGGTACTAGGGTCCCTTTCTTTCAAGTCTGGCTGCAACTACAGTATTCAGGCCTCCCAGGCATCTCTCTCCAGTGCAATCTCCGCAGACTATAAAAGCCCAAATCTGATCATATCACCCCAGACAGAAAAAAAAGTCAGTGCCTCCCATTGCCCTCGGGATAAAGGTCACGTGTCTTACCATGACCTTCAAGATTTGACCCCTGCCAATCTACCCAGCTTTCGCTTTCTTGTCCATCTGTCTCCTCTCTTCATTTCCACACCAGGCATGGAGTTTTATGGGGGTAAAGGTATAACTTGTTCACTTTTGAATCTTTGAGACATAGTATATAAGGGCTGTACTTTATTAGGTGCTCCACAAATATTTGTTGAATAAATAAAGGTGTAAATGAGGAAGAAAGAGATGATGTGGTTGCTTCCATATTTGCTGGATATTTTAAAATATTAGTTTAAAGAGGGCTTCAGGGTCATCTGGTCTTATACTTTCACGTGGCAGATGAGGTAATTATGGCACAGAGAGGTGAAGTTACTTATATATGGGGTTTAATTATAGATACAGATCTGTAATTTAGAACTCATCTTCTGATTCTTATTCCAGTGTTTCCTTTTTCCCCCCTCCTTCCCTCCCTTCCCCCCTCCCTCCCTCCCTCCCTCCCTCTCTCCCTTCCTTCTTTCCTTTCTGCCTATGCCATGGTATATGCTCAGAGGAATTCATCCTACTGTCATCACTCATGAAGTCTGTGTTTTTGTTATGCCCACCCCTTCAGCTACCAGATAATCCTGTTGTCTTTAACAGTGACTTCTGTGGCAGTTTTTCTCTCCCAAGGTAGGGAAAGCACCAGGATTGCCTAGATTGCCCATGTATAGGAATGGCATAAATGTGGCCTGCTGGAGTTGGATATTGCCTGATAGCTTACGGAGGAGATTAATTCCTGGCCCCAGTGGTCATCTGTTGAGCCTTCACAATGGATCTCTGAGGATGACGTAAAAGGATTTACTGATTTTTTGAAAGACAATACTAATGTGCGTGACATTTACCAACCCTTGTTACTTTAGTTGAAAAAGTCTCCTCTGAACCCCCTCCCCCAAATTTCTTTAGTCTGTTTCTGAATCATGTGTATCTTAGTGAAATGGTTGAATCCATTTACCAATGTCACAAAAGGGCTATGTGTATGTTTTTATTGAGTAAAATTAATTTTTCATGGCCTTCTTTTTTAGCTGCTGTGTAAGGTTACCCACTTGTAC